CGCCGACTCCATTTCGTGACGTCACTGGATGTTGATTCGAGGAGAATAATATTTATTAATATTATTTTTAACAAGTTCCAAAAATAACAAGTTTGCAAGTAAAATACTGTCAAACTAGAACAAATGACTGATTTATTTCTTACGACAGGGCTGAATTTATTTGATGGGCCATATCAAATAGAGTACTCAATTTTTTTTTAAAAACGAAAGTACTATTTCAAAGATTTACCGTTCTTGTTTGGGGTTTCCCTTTCAAATGTATTTATAAAAGTAATTTGTTAAAAAGGTTTTACATGAAGATGTTTAAATCTATTTACATAGAATAATTTGTATAAAAGTTTTATACATACCTGTTATTTTTTGGAACTTATTAAAAATAATTTTAATAAATATTATTCTCCTCGATTCAAAATCCAGTGACGTCACGGAATGGAGTCGGCGACAAACTCAGATCGCAGGAAATAATCAGAAAATGTTGAATTATTCCTACACAGCTACGCGATTTTAAAAAGTTATCGGTGGTATTTGATGCATTTATGTATTGTTTATCGAAATGGCCAGATAGAATAATTTGATCCGTTGTTTTGTTGATTTGTTCGGCGTAAATTATGTTCGGGTGGGGAAAAGGCGTTTCATTCCTTGTGTTTTTTTTATAGTATATAGGGGGTATATTTGGACATTATAATTAATATTGGTTATTTGATAGAATTTCAAGTTCCTGTGACCTATCTAATCGTGCCTGTGTATAAAAATTTGCGTACTAAATAGTTGCAAGAGAATCTTCAAAAACTCCTATGAATGTCATTTTATTTGATATTTCTGAGGACTTTTGTAACCTCTCAGCAACGAAATCCATGTTTAAAAATCCTTCCCTACCCTAACACAAAAATGTGAAAAATGTGCAACGTGACGAATGTCAGACGTTTCACGCCCAAGACGTTTCACTCCCAAGACAGTTCACACCTAGAAGTTTCACTCCCATTTTGTCAATTGTATGAACGTTTCACTCACAATTTTTAGAGATGTTTACTAGGAAAGTTAACAAATTTTAATTACATTAATATCAAACAGTGTAAAATAATGTTTCATTTTGTTGATTTCAATGATATTGTTAATACAAATTATTAAGTATAATATTACTCATTTAATTATGGGTTGAGTGATAAGAGGTGTAAATGAAAGAAAATTTCTGAAAATAAGTGTAACAACATGAGAAAATTCTATTCAAAGTAAATAATAAACAAAAGAATATGTTTACATAGAAAGAACTACAAAGACATATTTTAAGTATCAGTTTAAATATCGAAATCACTACCAGTAAACTAATTAATATGAAATTAGGCAAAGCCTATGAACGGGGAAGTCGTTAAAAAAATCCTTTCATTCTTTCCGTTTTAAAGGTGTCATTTGATATTACATACACCGCTTCTGTTTTCACTCGGAACACTCTACGATTATTACTAATCCGAAAAGTTGAGATTTGTTCCGTTATCGGAATACCCCGCCTATTATCATTGACATACATTGTAAATGGCGGCGCCCGACTAGAACTGACACTGAAAATTTCATTGATAGGTATAGAATTCTATATATTTTTTTATTGTTTTTTTATTTGATTTTCTTTTTAAATATTCACGTGTAGTCTATAGCCGGGCAAGCCCGTAATATTATTCAAATAATAAAAAATATCAATATATTAAATATATTGTCTATATAATGATTTTTTTTTTGTAAGTCTTAAACAATAAAATGCGAAACATGTGTATAAAATAATTATTTTTTTAAATTATTTTCTTCATCAATTTATTAAACAGTAGCCATTAAACAAACTTAAGTAATTGTGGTGTTATCTCATTGCCTAATTAGTTGTATAAACACTGAGACAACCAACTAACAGTTTGACACCACTATTGAATCAGTTGTATAAACACTGCACTTAAGCATCAACAGTTTACTAATCAGTTGTTTATTGGACCATTAAACTATTTTTTGACAACAGGCAATTTAAACACAGAAACTTCTCCATAAATTTTGTTTATATAATAATTTAAATAATGAATTTTTGTCACAAAAAATGATTATACATGACAAATATTGAAAAAGTCCCAATGCTTCTAATTTAATTTAAAGGTATTTCTGATTTCAATGGCCATTAAATTTTTTGACATTTATCGCAAAAGCACTATACTAGCATTAAATAATTTAACAAATTTTTATCCCATGTTTAAAAACAACAACAAAAAAACACGTTACTCAAAGTTAATTGCTGTCACAAGAATGGTATGCTTTAAATTAAAATTGCCTATTGAGTCCATGTTTACAAAAGATCAAATAGTTAGTTATATTAAAGTGTTATTTTAATCAAAAATATTTCTTCTTTAAGTGAAATAATGTGATAATTGCACATATGGATCAAAGAATTGAAAAACACTTTTTTTCAAAACAACAATAAAGAAGATAAGATAACTGAAATGATAGAACTTAAAGTCATTGAAAAAAGTAATATCCCCCTTTTAATTTATTTGTTATTAAATCTAAGGTCTATTTGAGTTCAATTCAATTCAATATTTTAGGTCTATTTTAGTATATCATAAGTATCAAAATAATTTTGGTATAAAAAGGGAGTGAAACGTCTTGGTGTGAACCATCTTGGTGTGAACTGTCTCAATAGTGAAACGTCTGTCTACCCAGCATGACAAGGACTGGAATCTGGGACCCTAGGAATACATTTGCTGAGCACTACTGACTGAGCTATCCAGCCGCTTACACATTCTCCCCTAAATAGTGAACAGTTTTGACATGTGACAGTGACATAGTGAGTGATACTCCCTAGTCAAAATAATTAGCCATGAAAAAAGTTATTTAACATTTTATAATATTTATCATTGTGACATAATATTTTTTTTCATTTTATATTATCAAGGCTTTTTTCAACGTCTAAACCACAGGCACGAGTATCCGACCTGGGAAGAAAATATATGACCACATTGAAAAAAACCTCTGTGTTCATCTTAAATGTTTTTTAAAAAAAAAAAAAAAAATACGAGCAAGGGGTTCATTACCCGGGACGTTGTGATAACAATTGTCCAGATAATTAAAAAAAACCACTTTTATCACCATTTCATGTTTGTATTCAGCTTCCTAATGAGTCTCTAGCCCATCCCGTTCATGAAATATCTATCAGCAAACAAGCGCATTTATGCTAAAACTACCAGGTAGACAAAAAAGTTGCACAACAATTCACTATGTAAATATAGACTAATACATGTTCAGTGTCAGCCGAATGCAGTTCAAAATCACTTGAATTTACTAAATAATATTACTAAATACATATGGGACCACTCACAACCATTAGTAGCATCAGATACAAGCGAAATTCCAGTTTCAAACCTTTCCACGGTCTTTAGATTCCTTTCTACGCCATTGTCAATCAGCTGTTAAATATTTTATAAGGAGTCGTCTGATTGGCCAATAGCAACGAAACCGCAGCGTTTTGCACAAAGATGCCTAGTGGCCTAGAAAGCAATCGAAAAACCAGAAAAATGCAATGGGAGGGGGAATTTTATTTCTTCACAAATGAGGAGAAACAAAACAGAATCCAGTGCATATTTTAATATACCACTTCTAACTTTGCTGTCCTGATTACATACTGTTGCGCAACATTGTTTTCTTTCCGGTAGAAAAGGGGAGCAACTCTTGCAACACAAGTTTAAAATACATAGCTTTTTCTTACTGTATGGATCTAAAATATCAACAGCAGAATTTAAAGCGTTCAAGTTAAACTTGTTGAGACGCATGAAGTAGCTCCCCTTACCTACCCGGGAACAATTTGTAAATAACATTGCTTAACAGTAAGTCTTTACATGCATAAACTAAACATTTTTCGGCAGTTACTTGCAAAAAATGATATTCATTAAAGGCAAATTCAGACTGCTGTATGGAAGAAAATTTCGGCTTTGAAGAGGGAAAAAACATACTATTTTAAATGGGGGCCGAATTTTGCGGAATATTTTGTAAAAAAACACCTAGAAGTTATCTGAGTGATTTTGTAGAGAAACATAAATATTGAAGAAATAAGTATTGGGTAAAATGTTAAAAATAGCTGTGGAATGATTCTAAAGCCTAGCTGATATTCCTGTTGAAAGATGAAAACTCGAATCATTAAATGCCAGACATTTCACTTCAAAGACATTTCACTATTGAAACTTTTCAGTCCCAAGACAGTTCACACTTTGGCATTTCCCTCCCACTTTGAGAATTGTATAGATGTTTCTCTCCCAATTGTTTTCATTTGAGATGCTTTATAGAAAAGTTAACAAATGTTTTAAAATGATAATTAGAATTATTGTAAAGCTGTCAAAATACTCAGGCACTGACCAGGATTTGAAACTCTCACCTCTCGTTTACTAGGTGGACATTCAACCACATTGCTATTGCTGTTGGAAAATGGCTTAAAGCTGTTATAACTACAGAATTATTGTTGTATTTTTCTTTCATTTCCAAATTGAAAACAAGAATATGGAATCTACGGCAGAAAGACATGACACCTTCTTGATTATTTTTAATTATGCTATATCTGTTAAAAGGATATTAAATTTGAACATTAATTTTTAATACCGGTACACTCTTGATAAATCCTTTCGCTCTATTGAAACGTATTAAAGATATGTCTAAAAATAGACTTAAAATGAGAGCTTTATAAATCTTCTTAGGAACTACAATGCCCAGAACTTAGATATTTGGCATGTTGTATCACCTTTTGGTCCACTACAAAATTTTTATAAATTATGTTCCTGGGGTCAAAAATGACCCCACCCTAGTAGGGTTCATTTAGTTTAAAACCCAATATAACCTCATGACTGGCTTTTTTCCTTTTCTAGCAGTGTATCTCGGGTGAGCGATCCAGGGCAGTCATGATTATCTTGTTAAGTGAATTTAGTTAAGATTATAGATTAATTATTTATATTAAATTATTAATATATTGCTTATTTGTTATCCAGGTTTTGGTAGTGGTGGTGGGTTTGGCTTTGGCAATCAACCTAAGACCACATCAACAACAGGCTTTGGTCTGGGTTTTGGTTCAACTGCAGCCAGTACTGCTCCATCATTTGGTTTTGGATCAACCACAACAACTGCCTCCAGTGCACCATCATTTGGTTTCTCGTCCACAACAGCCTCAGCACCTCCCTCTTTTGGGTTTGGCACAACAACAACAAGTGCACCAAGTTTTGGGTTCGGATCTACAACCTCTAGTGCTGCCCCCAGCTTTGGTTTTGGGGGTACATCAACTGCAACCACAGGATTTGGAGGTTTAGGAGGGTTCCAGGCTAACACTGCTACTACAGGATTCGGGCTTGGTAAGTGTACTCATTTGGGACTATTTACTATATTTTTAAGTAAATTCTTTAACATATGTGAGTGATATTCAGTACTAGAATGACAATAATGTATAATGAGTAATTATAATTTTAGTGATCAAGAGTGAGTTATATATGATAATCATTCATCGAAAGAGATTTATAATAGTAAGTTACATGTACAAAAGTAACATTGGTGAGAAAAATACAGTGAGTATAAAAAACAAGTTAAATTAAATGGTTTATATTGATTGATATAATATATATGTATACATACAAAAATTTTGTTTTGTGAGAAATTCCATGATTTAATAAAAAACCACAAAGATCATTTTGATGCTTTAAGTATTTTAGTTTTTATAGCTTTTATTAGCATATTGGCAGTAATGTAAAAAAGTGCATTGTCACTTTAAGAGAAAATTAAGTTGTCCTAAAGTTATATGATACAATTAACAAAGAAGATCTACCTTGTATTCCCTGATGACATGTTTTATGTCTTATCTTGTGCTGTAAATGATTGTATTTATTACAGTTATATATAACTTTCAGGTACTCAGGCACAACAACAACAACAACAAGTTGTTGCAGATCCAGCTGCTGATGAGCTTGCCAAGCTGAGCAAGGCTGTTTCCCAGCCCCAGGTGTTTGGGGATGAAAGAGATGCTGTGCTTGCTAAATGGAACCAGCTACAAGCTCATTGGGGAAAGGGCAAAGGTTACTACTACCAACAACAGTTTGTGGAGTTTAAACCTGATAATGTTTTCTGTAAATTTAAGGTAATGCTGCTGGCCAGGTGATAACAAAGAATGATTTCTTACTAACAAATCTTTTCAGGAGTGAATGAGATAGAGTTATATGATATTTTCTACCTATTGTTATGCTTATGAGGAAAAAAATATTGTTGTTTGGTGTAACACATTCACGTTACTAATACTAAAGTTTCAGCTTTATATAAAAGATATAATAATTGTAAAGTTAAAACAGAAATACTTGGTAACCAGGCTTATGTACAAGTCATGTGTTCTAACTTAAGCTATAAACACAGAAATAACTATAATCAGATTTCAATAGACAAAAGTAATAATTAACATTGATCGCCTTATAGAATGCCTTTAATTAAAGGTTACAGTAGTTGAAAAATTAAATACAAACAGCTGGTTAATCTGAATCAGTAAATCTAGTTACATCATTTGTTTCCTTATAATCATAACCATTTTGTTTATAAAAAAGGTTAATAAAATAGGCTTCCCTTGAATTTTATATATTTGTATTTACACAGGCAGTAGGATATAACTGTATGCCGTCTGGTAAGAATGAAGATGGTCTTGTATCTATGATCATAAAACATCCTATAGATATGGTTAGACCTCAACAACAACAAGCCCTTGATACTATACATAAAATAATGGGTAGTAGACCACAACATACAGTCTGTGCTGAAGCTATTAATGAACTCCCTGATGGAAAGTAAGTGATAAATTAGTTCACTCATGCTTCACTGATGGGGGCCTTTAATAATTTATGATAAAGATGATTGACGTCAAGTCACTTGCTTTTTATGGGATTTTAAATCATGCTAAGGAACTATTGAATTTTGTCATGTAAGGCAGATATCCAACTACATGTACTTGTATAGGTTTCAGTGGTTCTACTCAGGTGCTATATTATGTTGTTAAGTTATTCACAAACAGAAGTACCTATGTAACTTGAAGGCTATGTTGATGTTTAAATAGGAAATGAATTGACTAACTTGTTTGGCATATTTAAGGTGTTAACTTTATAAGTGTAAGTATAGTTTTATGTCATTTCTGTTTTATATGTTATAGCATTAAGTATTCCTGAAAAATTGAAAATCTTTTTGTTAAGGCAGTTATCTTTACGGGTCTGCTGCATATTAGAAACAATACTTAAATTTGTTGTCATGATTATATATGATAATAACTGACAGGCTTTTTTATGATATCAAAATTTGACTAATTCAATCAAGGCTTTAAATTTACTAGTCATTTGTAGATACATGTTTATAAATCATTTTTTTATTATTTTCTGGAATTCATTGCCAGACTGTCTGAAGGACATTACCAATGAAAATCAGTTTAAGGCCAAACTTAAAACATACTTGTTTGGACTGTTTTTAACTAGAGTTGTAGATTGGCTGTGCCATCGAGACTGGGTTTGGGAGTGTCTTGATCAAGCATATGTGTATATAGTCTTAATAATGTTCAGCGCAATCGAATATTTAATACATTTTTGCGCTATATAAATGTCTTGTATTTGTATTTGTATTATTTTCTCATCAAAAGAAGTATTGAGCACATTAATGATGGTACATGTTTTAAGAAATCTTAAACATTTATTATTCTTGATAATGACATTTTAATATTGTTACAACAATCTTGTTTATTTACAGAACTGACTTGGTTGTCTATGTAATGGATCGTCCAAATGTGGGTCCAGCTAAACGATGTCCGGCTATTGATCTGTTCAACTATCTATCAGCACCACAATTTAAGACACAACTGACTTCTCAACTTAATGTGGAGAATCTTACACCTAAAGTTCTCATGAAAGATCAGCTTAAAGCTTACCTTGATCAACCACCATCAGGTGATATATAGATAAACAGTATTACAGCATTATGACAGTTTATACACAATTTATTTATGTTATTTTGTGTAGGAAGCAATATTCTTACATAGCAGACTGGCGTTGTTACCAATGCCGGAAATTTCATCTGACATGGGGGGTGCCAGATGAGTCGCATGCCATACAACAACGTCATTTTAGCGCATTTTGCTGTTGTTATTAAAGTTGTGAATTCATACGCTATTGTAAGAAAACAGTTCTATATGAAATGACTTTAATATCCATGAACAAATATTTTATTGAGTTTGACCATTTTAAATATGAAATATCAAATAATATGGCTGAATACGCAAGAAAAAATATCTGACATGTTTGCGGTTTGGCAAGCCTTGTTACCGCCCAAAGGGCGGGCCCCTTGGGACAGATATTCCAATCTGAACCACAACATACATGTATGACAGATATTATTAATCTGATAGACACTCTTTTGTATATCTGTTCCTTGAATATACCAGCACAAAGCAATTGGTGTAAATTTTATCCCTCAAAGGAATAACCACTTGCCACTGACAGGGTTTGAACCCTCACATCCAGATATTTTTAGATTATTCATATTGGTCTGATGCATTACTTTGTCAACACTGCTAGTGAATTGTTTTGCTTTGTTCAGATATATATCGTTTCAGTATTACAAAATGGAAATTTGATAATTGACAGTTTATTTTTGTTCAATATATGTACCATGAAACTGTAATATGATCAAAAAAAAAATAGGATATTAAGGATAGACGTCACTATTATAAAATAAAGTGGAGAGACTATATGTTGCCTTACAAATTTTAGTTTTAAAACTAACAGAAGTTTTTTCAACACTTGATTTCATAGAAAAGAAATCAAGTCAAATTGTAGAATAAATACCTTTTAAATAAATTATTTAGAAAAAAAATCTTGTGATTATAAGATTTAAAACATGAAAGGACATTTAAATGCAAGCTAAATATCATACTTGTGACATAAATATCAAAAATATATGTTTATATTATTTCAGGAATAGATCCGTTGTTATGGCAACAGGCAATTCTTGACAACCCAGACCCAGAGAAGATGATTCCTGTCCCTATGATAGGCTTTAAAGAGTTGAATCAGAGACTGAAACGACAAGACAAACAAAACAAGTTACATCAACAAAAACTAGATGTACGGGTGATATATATGTATTTCATATATAAATTGATAATTAATACAACAGTAGACTATTTTGATTTTAGAGATATCTTATTTACGCCACTTTAACAAATAAATTAACTGCCATATAGCTGTATGCTTAAACTTTTAGTGTAGTTCGTCACGGGAACATGTCAGGAACAGTACTAGCTTTTAAAGACTTAGATAGAGCTTAATATGAGCATAACCCTATCACTATTGATTACATATACTTGTCCAGCATGACAAATTTACAAATCTTATTACAAGTATGACATGTACAAATTTGACCTGACAGAATGACAAAATGCCATTATGTTACAGTAAATAATATACATATAGGAGGTTGATAATGAAAGAAAATCCTAAACTCTTGCGTGCATTTGTCTTGTAGATTTTATTCGAGGCAACATATTATTCAAGTTCCCGATCAAATACCACTTTATTTCACATTAATGGAACTGAAAATATTCTAAATAATTCTCCTCAATTCATTAATAATGTTCCTTTTATTAATGGTGATTTTAGATTATTTATTGTTAAAGTTAAATCACCTAGAATGGAATAAGTACTGCTGGTTGTAAAGATTTTGTTTTCTGATTACAAATATATACATATTTACAATTTACGAATTTTTCAGTTGATAGCCCAGGATTTGACAGAGTTTCAGAATAAACAGAGTAACATGTTGGCAAAGCTTGATGAATACAAGAGAAAATACCTGGAGCTTAGTCATGGGACATTACGGGAAATTCTTTATTGTTTAAAAAAATTATGCCCACCCAAGATTTAGAATGAACGGATAAAGGAAAAAAATTAATTTTCCACAAACCAAAAATTTCCTTTTTATTTTAAAATTAAGTTACAAAAACAATAAATAAAGCACAAAATTCAAAACGAAAATTTCTGAAAATATCTATTGGGAATTTCCCCTTTTATGTTAGTTATAAAAAAAGAGGGGGGCGTCTTTTAATTTTAAAAACAAATTTTTTAAATTTATTTAAACTTTTTCCAATATCAACTGTTGGTCAAACACCATTTTAACCGTAAATCTTTTTAAAAATAAAGTCAATTCAGCTCAACTTGACTATGAAAATATGAGCATAATGTCACTTTAATACTGTATAAGTGGATATTTATGCATCAAAAAAATTTTGCGAATGTCAAAGAGTGGAAACACATATATTGTTTCATTAAAACATTTGTGATTTGTTATGACCAAACTTAAACAAACAAGCAATGAGAAAAATTAATCTCAGTACCTGACCAGTCAAACTTATTTATGTAAGATGTTGTATGAAAACGTGTTTTCAAATGATAGAAGAAAGTTTGCCTTAACGGAAAAAAATTGCGCGATCAAATATTTGCGAATAATTTCAATTCGCAAAAATTGCAAATATTCACACATCACTAAAATAACCACTGATTCAGTATCATTATTTAATAATGAGACAAAGGCATGAGGTTTAAACCTAAACTAACCATCAGAAAATTTTTGGGGAAAATTTCAAAACATCTTACAAAAATTACTTTTATTATATTACCCCTTTCCCATTACTTTAAATACACCTTTTATGTATTTAATAGATCAGAGAGAGTTATTTTCTAAAATATAGTACAACCCCCACGCCCCCTTAAACATTCCTACATTTTTTCTTATGGTTGGGTAACATATTCCCCAAAATTTTTCCCTTTGATAGTTGATTGTTGCATTTTAATTTACTGGTTTTATTTTAAAATTTCTTTAGCAAAAGGGTAAAAAAGTTTGCTTTTAATTTTTGAAAAATTGATTTTTTCCTATAATCTAACACATACTTTTAGACGGGAAAATTTATTTTAAAAGGAAATTGGGGAAACAGAAATCCACAAAAACAAAGGATTTGCTAAAAACGGTAATGAGGAAAAATTTGGAGAGTTCCCAGTTAGGGGCCCATACAGGCAGAACTTAACCATCCTACACAGTTTAAGGTATCTATTCTTTTGTGTTGAATGAATTAATCATTTACAACTATAAATAGAAAATATGGAACCATAATTTGTTTAAGTCTAGAAATATATCATGGCAGTCATCGAATTTAGCACTGGCCCGGTGGCTCATGGCCAGTGAAAATTAGTTCGGGCAGTGAAAATTTTCAGAAAATTTAGTTAAATATGTAGTTGATAAATTCAAAACTGGAATTCTGGCTAGTAAATTCAAAATCTTATATTTTTTGACTGTCATGAAATGGAAGGTTTTATTTTTAGCTTGACCAGGCATCGGTGTTACACTTTGGTTAAGATTTTACATTTTAAGTTGGTATTGACTGCTGAATGGGTTGAATCTTCTTACACTTATTTAAGAGCATAATAGGAGATCCCTTCCAAGGTCCATAACTATAACTTGGATTTTGACAGAATTATGTCCATTTTTAACTAAAAAAAATCACCATTATCCAGGCTCTTGTTTTACTATCAAATACTCAGAATGGTTGGGTATGCTGTTCTACCGACAGCTCCTGTTAAAAATGTGATAAAGTACCTATTTTTTAGATCATTATGTATGTCTGTTTTGACACTCCTGAAAATAACCGAAATTATTTAAATCCTGAACTATGTGAAAATGTAAGCTTTAGTAACCTTTGCTTATATACAGCTTAATTATTATTGTTCTTCTCTGTGATTAAACTTGCTTGTGATCAACAGATCTATAACTCAACTTTGTAATGTTAGTTAACAATTCTTCTTTTGTAACTAGAAAATAAATCTTTAATTACCTTGCTGAGAGAGATTACACTTAAACAATATTGTATATTTTACTGTAATTCAGGGACGATGAACTTTAACAATATTATATATTTTACTGTAATTCAGGGACGGTGAACTTTAACAATATTATATATTTTACTGTAATTCAGGGACGATGAACTTTAACAATATTATATATTTTACTGTAATTCAGGGACGGTGAACTTTAACAATATTATATATTTTACTGTAATTCAGGGACGGTGAACTTTAACAATATTATATATTTTACTGTAATTCAGGGTGGGCTGAATGAGTTGATGTTTGTATATTTTACTGTAATTCAGGGCCGGTTAAATGAGTTGATGTTTGTATATATTTTACTGTAATTCAGGGACGGTTGAATGAGTTGATGTTTGTATATTTTACTGTAATTCAGGGTGGGTTGAATGAGTTGATGTTTGTATATTTTACTGTAATTCAGGTACGGTTGAATGAGTTGATGTTTGTATATATTTTACTGTAATTCAGGGCCGGTTAAATGAGTTGAAGTTTGTATATATTTTACTGTAATTCAGGGACGGTTGAATGAGTTGATGTTTGTATATTTTACTGTAATTCAGGTACGGTTGAATGAGTTGATGTTTGTATATTTTACTGTAATTCAGGGTGGGTTGAATGAGTTGATGTTTGTATATTTTACTGTAATTTAGGGCCGGTTAAATGAGTTGATGTTTGTATATATTTTACTGTAATTCCAGGGACGGTTGAATGAGTTGATGTTTGTATATTTTACTGTAATTCAGGGTGGGTTGAATGAGTTGATGTTTGTATATTTTACTGTAATTCAGGGCCGGTTAATTGAGTTGATGTTTATATATATTTTACTGTAATTCAGGGCCGGTTGAATGAGTTGATGTTTGTATATTTTGCTGTAATTTAGGGACGGTTGAATGAGTTAATGTTTGTATATTTTACTGTAATTTAGGGACGGTTGAATGAGTTGATGTTTGTATATATTTTACTGTAATTCAGGGCCGGTTGAATGAGTTGATGTTTGTATATATTTTACTGTAATTCAGGGCCGGTTGAATGAGTTGATGTGTGTATATATTTTACTGTAATTCAGGGCCGGTTGAATGAGTTGATGTTTGTATATTTTACTGTAATTTAGGGCGGTTGAATGAGTTAATGTGTGTATATTTTACTGTAATTCAGGGACGGTTGAATGAGTTGATGTCACAGATTAGGATGCAGAATCATTTATCATCATCAAGATCAGATGTTAACTACCAGATAGATCCAAATATGTTACAGGAACTCAAAACTGTAAGTTACCATGTGCTGCTAAAGACAGAAAAACCATTCTCTCTTCTTACAAATTTCTATGTATAATAAGATGAAATAAAACACCAACCTGTATAATCCTGCAGATAATTGACACCCTGGTAGACCTTCAATCAAAATGTTGCCATGCATTGACAATTTGACAGTTACATGGTGCATTCATTTTTACTTTGTTTTGTTAACAAAATACAATTTAATTAACCAATAAAGATGTTATGGAATAAAGAGATAAATTGAAGACATCGCCCACTGTGTTTCTAAAGTGAAAATTCAAAGTATACATTGTACAAATGAGTACAATAAAATGTGGAATTTTATTGTACATGTTCTCAAACATGGCATACCTAAGTTCGGAATCTCGCGAAGAACAGTCACAGTCGGGACATTTCATTTACTGGTGCCTGTAACCTATCCCTGTATAATACATACCCTGCTATAATTGAAATGAAACATTTCCTCAGTTTCCTGCATGATTACATATGAATGCCAGAAGAACATTATTAACTGGTGGTGAAGTAACTTTAGCTTGAGATATAATGTTCATCATTGTTCAATATTTGTCATGTGAGAATGGTATTCATTACCTATTTGATATAAATTCTCCACTGTGTTATGTAGGCAGTTCATCCCAGGATGCTGCTATTATGTATTATTAATTTATTGTAATAATTATTTATTAGTAACTACTATACTTGGTTATCTTAGATTGTTTAATCATTTAGTCTAATTGTTGGTATTTGTTTATTACAGTTATTGAATCAGCAACAAGAAGGACTGACACATTTAATAGACATTGTAAAAGAGGATATGCAGGATTTAAATGTGATAGAAACGGGACTTACAGACAATACTAGTGCTAAAAGATAGGTTAAACTATATCACTGTGAAGAGTGTAGAATACTGCAGAGATAATGTGAGATTTTCTTGTGCATCATCTGGTGGTAAAATGAATAAGGAACCATTACTAAGCTATTTTATTTCAGAAGTCTTTCTGTCTAAAATGTTTGAGGTTGTTATATTAAGTGTAAAAATATCGGCCTGAGAAAAATGTAAAATAGGTCAGTTTAGTGGAAAACATTGGCCTGTTTAGTGTAAAAATGAACCTGTTTAATGTATTAAACACATACATGTAGGCCTGTTTTTGTGTATATGGGAATGTTTATTATATAACATTTGCCTTTTAATTGTAAAATATGGGCATGTTTATTGTATAACATTGGTCTCTTGTAAAAAAAAACCATCATAGCATGGAATGAACAGTGCTTAATAGTCTCAACAAGTTTCAGTGTAAGAGACTTGTGAAAAAGTAAGATTGGCTACAAAGTGTAAAAGATCAATAATAATTTTTTAGTGTTAAAATTTTTTTTTTAGTCCAATAGGATCACAGTGTATGACACATTTACATTACAGTCTCATAATTGACTAATTTTATTTTGTAAATGCTTACTAATGAACACTAACTTATATTTAATATTATTTTAAGTAAGTTAATGTAAAAGAATTGTTATAGAACAAAATCAGATAAAAAGATAAGTAGAATATTTTCAATAAACTGCTCTTTCAACAAACTGAAGCCGTTGAATGGCAGACTTAAATAACCTTTGTGCTGAAACCTCCAAGGATAAACAGTTCATTGATTTATCACTAGCAAGTTGCTTAGATCTTACATTGGTGCTTCTATAAGATAATGAATTTTGTAAAGAGTAAATGTATATGCTTTATAGTGATATGTTGCAACTTGATGAACAATATTGATTTATAATAATTATAGATTTGTAATAATTATGCAACAACAAAAACAAATACCTAAACATGACTTATTTTTTTGTTTCATATTAAAATATGGGTACATATATAGGGACAGACATATACATAGTTAATGATTAACAACTATTTAAGAAATAACATACCTATTTCAAATTTAACACATTATCCAAAAGTTTGTACTGCTTGTCATCCTCATTTATATTATATTTATATCATGAAGTAGTTTCATCATAGTTATTACCGTTATTAGTTCAATGATTATAATTAAAATGATGGTGATGGTAATAAAAGCAGAAAAATTAATAAGTCATCAGGTTGTAAAAAGGGGGCGAGATAATAAGATCATGGTAGAAAGCATTTAACATTGTGATATGTAATTAAATGGTAAATAAGTACGCTGGGAGAATTGGGTCCCGTCCAGGTGAAGCATGGTGTAAAAACTAATAATGTTAAGAGAATTATATCATGCAGTTACTGTATTGATGCTTATTTATATTTCATTCCTATTAATTTGAGTAAATTGATATGCAAATTACAATGAAAAATATTGCTTTATAAAATGTACGTTTATTTTATATACAAATGTATTTGAATAATTTCGAGAACAGAAAAATATTGTTGGGATAATACAGAATCATGTATATGTTGAATATCTCAAGCTACCATTAAATTTTCTGTATTGTTCTGTCGTACATGATGAAAAACTGGTATTCACTATCTTTTTGTTACAAAGAAATGAAAATAAAAGAATGAAATTAGAATGGTCTTTGTTTCTTTGTGACATTGTGGTCTGCCTGTGTACATGGTGTAACTGTTAAATGTCGTCTGTCTGTCCAATCCATATACATTATTTTCATAGGTCACCTAATTATGAGGAATAAGTTTTCAGGAATTATTTTAATGATACGATCTTTTTTTAACAGATTTTCAAATATATTCGTTGCAAATCTGGTCTTCCGACTGAAAAGAAAGCCTTACAATAATTTAAGTGTCTGACTTTGTTAAAATTTCGTAGTGACTGTCACCATATGAAAGATGAAACTTTTGGCGCTGTTGACCGTCAGTTATTAGAAAAGTAAAAAGTTGACAAACCCAATCTCTGCAACCGCGTTTACTAAAACAATGCATTTACATCCGGGAACTTGTTTATCTACCAAGACATTATTTTCATTGACGTGTTATATTTTGAACAGCACTAATTATTAGCCGAGAATGTAAGACCACAGAATTGTTTTCATATGAAGCCTTTAAAACTCCTTAAATGATGAACATTTCATAACAGAAGACACTGATATTCAATATGTCATGCTTTGTAGTATTTGATGATGCCTTAAAGGCTTCAGAAATCCATATTTTTTCATTCTTTAGAGAAATGTCAAACATGTGTTTAGTTATGTTTTGATTATGGTTTAAGAGAATGTTGATTTATAACAACTGAAGTACTAGCACTGAACATGCATTAATGTGCTGTAAAGGTAGCAAAATATAAACAAAGTAGTATTTTGACTTCCATACAAAATGCTAATTCACTATAGTGATACCAATTGCCAACATAAAAATCAGCAAAAGATAGTTTTTATATATGACAAAATGGCTTACAAGATACCAAAAATAAAGATTTTTTAGACCTAAAAATGATAGCATTTCTGAAGTATAATGGGAATTTAAATTAATTTTTCTCCGCTCAATACATTCTCAGTAAAGTCTACTGAATTTGGAACAAGTCCGAGTCTGGGGTGCCTTTTCCTACATGATAATTTTATCAATGCCTTCTGTTTTTCATCTTCCGAAAGTAGCATTTACTGGATATATGTTCAGGTAATATTTGATTTCGAACATGTTAGTATATCCCCCGATATGAAAAGCAGGACATTCGCCAAACGACCTTGAAAGTATCTGCCCAACATAACATTACTAGCATTGACATTGGCAGGTAATGAAACAGATTTCTTCATATATGAAAACTTCAAGTGCTTTAACAATATGTCTAAGGTACATGTAGATGTAATGATACTTTATCCAGTATATTTAACCGATGATATCCTTTTGTGAAATCATACTGCACGCTAGCTGACCATATTAAGAATTCATAAGTTATTTTCATAAGTTATTGAATTATTCTATTGTACACATACTCCATGGAATCAAATTTCATGAGTTGAATTAAATCGACAAGAGTTGAATAACTACGACTGATACGTGACCAATGATTCGAAAACTTCACAAGAGAAATATGCTAGAACAATAGAAGTGAATTTAAACATGTTATCAAATATCCACGAGTTCTTTTGTTTTATAATGTTCGGGTCTAGATAACCTAAAGAAATTATGATCGATTTTAAACAAATTCCATTTAAATCACCAGATATAGTTCAGATATAACTTAAGTTCTGAATGAAAATGTCGTCGTAGAAAATATGGTAATCTTTCTCCATAGATGAAGTAAAAATTACTTGTTTAATTATAAAATTGTTACGTTCAAAGGAAGGTAACCATGGATTCTTCAGAAGTGGATATGAAGCAGAAAGATTTGAACATTTTAGGACTGTCGGCGTATTCTGTAGATGAGAATTTTATCAAGTGTCCGATGTGCCTGGAGAGGTTTACGCGACCTAAGATGCTGAAATGTTTGCATACTCTATGTGAGCATTGTATAACAGTTCATATACAACACGCTGCCCGGAATAAACAGGTAATTTATTCAATGTACATAAATTGTCTAAATTTTTAAATAAATAAAAACGTATGAAAATAGTAAAAATTAAGATATTCTTGGTATCATATTTAACTGTGTTGAATTTGCTTACAACAAACATTTAAAGTAAGCGCAAAAGAAACGCGTATGTTTCTTGTTTTATGATGCAAATATACAGGGAGTTCCAATGGAAATGTCGGATATTCTATTTAGTGATGCAAATATAGTAGGTTCTTATGCAAACATCAGGTGTTCTGATGAAAACGTCGGTATCTAAAATACCATTACTTACATGATGAAGGATTTGAATGTGTTATTTTGCGGTACTTTTTTTATACAGTGTGGTGCCAAGCGTATTTGCTTAAAAAAACATAATATATATATTCACATATTAACATACATTTTGTGTATTTCTTTTAATATAGACTGCAAATCATGTAAGCCTTGACTTGAAGGAAACGCATATTGTAAATGAACAGGGATTAACTGATAATAATAGTTTCCAATGAAAATACATGTGTTTGAAAGTACAGGTTTGAAATCATGCTAATAAGTAAAGCTATGCCCCATGTCTGGCTTGAATCTACAGTCATATTTTAAAAATACAAGTAAACATATTTGGAATGGAATACTTAAATACTCATCATTATTATTGCAGGTGACACACAAAGAGTTTCCGTGTCCTAAATGCCATTCTATGACTAACGTGATCAAACCTGAGTTGCCCCTCGATAAATGGGCAGAGACACTGCCCGCCAACACTATGATGGAAGCCCTGTTAGAATCCATCTCTCTACAGGTACGTATTAAAGCTTCATCTGACATTTTTTTATAATGTTATTAGCTAGGATATCCAGCTAGTTACAGAACGTCGGTGATTCTACTCAGGTCCCCGCTCGTGGCACTTGAGGTCTTCCTCCACCCGTCGTCATATGATCTGTACAGTGTAGGTGCGACTTAAACCCCAACACAAAAATCATTATTACATTAAATTAACTTTTAACTGCAAGATACCTTCAATTCTTTCGAATTATAAATAATTGTAAGAGTAGTATTGCGTACAGTTTTACCAGTGACATTGCCAGTGCATTTTTGTCAGAACATCAAAGACTAAAACTTAGCTCTGGTTTTTGGTTAATTTGGCTCCCAAAAAGGACGATAAGAATTGCAGAAAGAGACGGAGGTTTTTGGACAAAACAAGACTGGAATTAGTTTTCTTACTTTAACACCATTTGGTTAAGGTCCAGACTAATTACTTGTACTCAAGATTTCAAGTCATTCGCTCGATCCTTTTGCCCAGAATACTCATTTTACTTGTGCGAAATGACCAACAAAATAAAAAGCGTTTTAAAAACGCCTTTAACTCAAATCAGGATGAGAATCGCACGAAACAAAAATTGATGTTCATTTCAATTCTGAATATATATTTCCTTATTATCTTTTATATATTTTTACGTTTTGTTATGTAAGAATTTCAAAATCTATATTTATAGGCCTTAAGTGGTGTTCCTTTAAGATTATAGTGTAAAATATAACACATACGGTTGACTCTATAAAACACACACTGCAAAAATATCATACGAAACTGAAATATTTAGTGTATTTACAATAATGTTCATATTTTAGGTTGACGATAAACTTTGCGGCACGTGCGAGGAAGGTGGAGACAGCACTTTAGCTTCGTATTGGTGCCGCGACTGCGCAGAACCTCTTTGTGACAACTGCCTGAAATATCACAGACTGATGAAGATAAGCAGACGACACAAAATAGAAGAAATGGACATCATCAAAAGGCACCCGAAACGTATATTGTCAGTTCCCCAACCATGCCCGGACCATGTTGGTAAAGATATCGAGCTGTTTTGTGCCGATCATAACACCCTATGCTGTGTAATGTGTGTCGCCACGGAACACAGAAGGTGCGATAAAGTAGCCTCCATCGACAAATTAGCCAAGCAGTTGGAGGAAGGTGCCGTCACGGAAGAACTCGTTGATAAACTAAATTCGTATCTCGATCACCTGAAAACCATGAAAACAGACCGTGAAGTAAATAGAGAGAAGTTAACTGGCAAGAGAAACGAAATAATGGAGCAGATTGCTAACTACAAGGAAAATGTAAACATTCTACTAGAGAAATTGGAATCCACTTTGAACCAACAGTTCGACCATGTACACCTGAAGGAAACAGATCGGCTCAACACGGAAATAGAGTGGTGTAATGCGATGCAGAGCGCGGTTGAAAACGCCAAAACCGTACTACTAGTAACTAACAGACACTGTTCTAACGCACAGGTATTTATAACTGTACAGCAGTGTATAGAGAGGTCAATAAGATATGAAGATGAGATTGCCAAGGAACAGAATCAGAAATTTGAACTGTTAGATTACAGTTTTGAGATCGATTCAGCGTTTGAGGCATTTTTGCAGTCTTTGATCTCCGTCGAGTCTTTTGGTAATGTGCACACACATCGCCGTCGTGCCTTCATACCATCCTCACCTGGACTTAAGATGTTGAGAGACAGAAAAGCGGAACCGGAAATTGAATTTGACGCAAAGACGCCATCTGATACACGAAATTGTTGTCTGTCATCTGTTCTTTTCCTGTCTGACAAAAGGATTCTTCTTGCAGATCAGAACAATCAAAAAATTAAACTCTTTGAAGACAATGGGTCACTGATTTACGAACAGGCGTTTACAACATGGCCACGTGACTTCACAGAGCTAGGCAATAACAAGGTTGCTGTCACATTACCCAAGGAGAGAAAGATTGAGATATTTTACCTTGGACAAAAGTTAAAGAACCTCGAAACGATACGAATGATGGATGAATGCTGGGGAATCACTTATAGCAACAATACCCTCATTGTTGGTTGTATCGGACCAGACAAAGGCAACATCAAATTAATGACACTAGATGGCGTTGAGATCGATACTATTGAAGATGACCCTAGCGGCAGACGACTTTTCATCAAAACAAATTACGTCACAACTAACGTCAATGGAAAAGAAATTTATATTACAGATAGAACCAAGGATACAGTGGTGGCTATCGCTTTGAAGAGAAATCCAAATAAACAGCAGATAGCCGAGGACCAAGGTCCAAAACGTTTACTTCCGGTAAAGCCGAGGCATCGTTCCAGTACTGTACTTGGACACGGTAGGGATCAAAGTAATGGCCTTCCATCTGAAAGACGAGCCCACAGCGAGATGGCTAAAACATTGCCGGGTTACGGAGAGTATAGTAAGTTTAAAGAAAGTAAGAATAGAGATTCTGCTAATTCGCCAACTACACTTCTAGAAGAGGGATTTGATGAGAAACTTGAAGAATCCTATGATGCCCGTTCAAAGGGGACACCGCAACGTGATATGAAGAATGTATCTGGAGGGTCATTAAAGACAGAAGATTTAGAAGCTGTTGCCACGAGACAGTCACCAATAGAGCGCGAGGACACGAGATCAACTATCAGTCACGTAAACGACCAAGACGAGAAAATAGAGTATGATGTTCTCTATTCATACTCAAACGATATCCTTAAATCTGCCGGCGGTGTCGCTGTGGATCACCAAGGAAACATCTACGTTACTGGATATAGATCATCTAATGTTCATCAAATTTCTCCTGGCGGCTCTCTCATTAAGATTCTTCTACAGAACCTATCACAGCCTCTAGCTATATGCGCGGAACCATTTGGTGATAGAATAGCAGTCACTGAAACTACATCATCCAAACAAAACTTGGTACAAGTATTTAGATTAGTGTAAACCGTATACCAGAATACTACCGTGTAGTACTTAAACAGGTCAAGTCTTGATTGCTCTGCCATGGGAAGAAGAGGATATTATAAAGGAAACTGTTGGGTTCGGGATGTTATAATTTCATGACGTTTAATGTAATGGACATATCTTTTTATCAATTTCTACTTTCCTGTTCTATAGAATTATATAATAAATATAAGCGTGGAACATTCCAGTTTCAGGTATAAGAATTATGTGATATTTGTACCGGAAATGTTACTCAACAGATAAACAGTGTGACTTAAAGTATAATCAGCGTGGTTATTTGAATATCATTTATTGTATCCATTTTCCTATATCATTTGCTATTCTGTGATTTGTTGTGTATACATATTAAAAATTTGTTCAACTTTCAATAACACAATTAAAAGTTGCAAAACAATTTCAATAGTTAAGATGTTTTATATATACAAAATGAAAAGGCATTCATATCACTGAGATAGCTAATTCAACAGGAAGGCATATTTCTAGCCTCGGTTACCATGGCAATGTCCGAGTCAGAGCATGATGCCCATACACAAGTACTATCATGCCCATACAAAAGTATTATCACATAAAATGTTAATGACTGGATAGGAAAAATAATTTGAATCTCTTAGTTGGCCGTAAAATAATATAAATACATAAAAATGGAAACCTTAATGAACCAAAAAAGGGAAATGTTGCAGACCCACGTAAAGTTAGAAGTCAGCCTGCATAGAAATATATAATACTGATCAACAAATAAAGGCAACTGTTTAAGCATTGTCAACTTGACTTAAAACTGGAAGAAACATTACATGTTAAACAAGAGCCTGGTTTGAGCCGGGTGATGCTCCCCGAATAGGTTTTGGACACAGGAAAGTACACCTCTTGTAGTTTCAGAGTTATGTCCCTGGAAAAAGTTCAAAGTGCAATAATTCCAAAATTAGGCAAGGCAGAGTAACTGTTCTTTGCACTGCACTTTTAATCAATACCATCAATCAACCTGCAGTTTCTTGCTAAGTTGATATCTCTTATGGTTTACGAGTTAAATCCCGGACAACTTCAAAATGTGACAACTTCAAAATGTAAAAATGACCAAAGGGCAATTACTACAAATTGGCAGAGTTCAAGTTCTTGTGCACTGCACATCTACCCATTGAGATCCATCTACCTACAAAGTTTAATATTGATATCTCTTGTAGTTTTAGAGTTATTTCCCGGACAATATATTTTTAAAAGGGGAGATAATTAAAACAAGAGGGCCATGATGGCACTGAAGTCGCTCACCTGTATATAGGCCCCCCGGAGCGAGGCAAGTTTAAAACCAAGGACTTTTATTTGAACAAACTTGGTATACATCCATTAGAAGATGTTTCATGCTAAACATCTAAGGTCTAGCTTGTTGGGTTTTTAAAAGAAGATTTTTAAGTTTTTTCTTTACACTAATATTTAAAAACAATGACACTCCTGGGGCAGGGCCAGTTTTGACCCCAGGGCTTTTATTTGAACAATCTTTGTACACACTTACTAGAAGATGTTTCATGCTTAATATCCAAACATTAGCTATTCGAGTTTCTTCCAAGAAGATTTTTAAGTTTTTGCCATACACATATAAGGAAAATCAATGTCCCCCGGGGCAGGGCCAATTTTGACCCCAGGGCTTTTATATGAACAAACTTGCTAGACATCCATCAGAACATGTTTCATGCTAAATATCTTAGCTCTAGCTCTTTGAGTTCTTTAAAAGAATATTTTTTAAGTTTTTACTATATGCATATAGGGAAAATCAATTATCCCCCTGGTGCAGGGCCAATTTTCACCCCATGGCTTTTATTTGAACAAACTTGGTAGACACTCACTAGAAGGTGTTTCATGCTAAATATCTTAGCTCTAGCTCTTTGGGTTCTTTAAAAGAAGATTTTTAAGTTTTTACTATATGCATATAGGGAAAATCAATGACACCCTGGGGCGGGGCCAATTTTGACTCCAGGGCTTTTATTTGAACAATCTTGGTAGACACTCATTAGAACATGTTTCATGCCAAATATCTAAGCTTTAGCTCTTTGGGTTCTTAAAAAGAAGATTTTAAGTTTTAACTATATGCATATAGGGAAAATCAATGACCCCCTGGGGCGGGGCCAATTTTGACCCCATGGCTTTTATTTGAACAAACTTCGTAGACACTCATTAAAAGATGATTCATGCCAAATATCTAAGCTCTAGCTCTTATGGTTTTTTCAAAGAAGATTTTTAAGTTTTTACTATATGCAAATAGGGAAAATCAATGACCCTCCCGGAGCGGGGCCAATTTTGACCCCAGGGCTTTTATTTGAACAAACTTGGTAGACACTTATTAGAACATGTTTCATGCTAAAAATCTTAGCTCTAGCTCTTTTGGTTCTTTAAAAGAAGATTTTTTTAAGTTTTTACTATATGCATATAGGGAAAATCAATGACCCCCCTGGGGCGGGGCCAATTTTGACCCCAGGGCTTTTATTTGAACAAACTTGGTAGACACCTATTAGAACATGTTTGATGCTAAATATCTTAGCCATAGCTCTTTGAGTTCTTTAAAAGAAGATTTTTTATGTTTTTACTACATGCATATAGGGAAAATCAATGACCCCCGGGGCGGGGCAAATTTTGACCCCAGGGCTTTTATTTGAACAAACTTGGTAGACACTCATTAGAACATGTTTCATGCCAAATATCTAAGCTTTAGCTCTTTGGGTTCTTAAAAAGAAGATTTTAAGTTTTAACTATATGCATATAGGGAAAATCAATGACCCCCTGGGGCGGGGCCAATTTTGACCCCATGGCTTTTATTTGAACAAACTTCGTACACACTCATTAAAAGATGTTTCATGCGAAATATCTAAGCTCTAGCTCTTATGGTTTTTTAAAAGAAGATTTTTAAGTTTTTACTATATGCAAATAGGGAAAATCAATGACCCTCCCGGAGCGGGGCCAATTTTGACCCCAGGGCTTTTATTTGAACAAACTTGGTAGACACTTATTAGAACATGTTTCATGCTAAAAATCTTAGCTCTAGCTCTTTTGGTTCTTTAAAAGAAGATTTTTTAAGTTTTTACTATATGCATATAGGGAAAATCAATGACCCCCTGGGGCGGGGCCAATTTTGACCCCAGGGCTTTTATTTGAACAAACTTGGTAGACAACCATTAGAACATGTTTAATGCTAAATATCTTAGCTGTAGCTCTTTTGGTTCTTTAAAAGAAGATTTTTTAAATTTTTACTATATGCATATAGGGAAAATCAATGACCCCCCGGGGCGGGGCCAATTTTGACCCCAGGGCTTTTATTTGAACAAACTTTTGGTAGACACTCACTAGAAGATGTTTCATGCCAAATATCTAAGCTCTAGCTCTTATGGTTTTTTTAAAAGAAGATTTTTTAAGTTTTTACTATATGTTATAGGGAAAATCTTTCGGTTGTTGACCATGGCAACGAGCTAAATGTTCTTAACTCTTTTGGTTCTTAAAAGAAGATTTTTAAAGTTTTTACTATATGCATATAGGAAAATCAATGACCCCCCCTGGGGCGGGCAATTTCGAAGAAGACTTTTTTAAGTTTTTACCATATAGGGAAAATCAATGACCCCCCGGGCGGGGCAATTTATGGAAACAAACTTGGTAGACCCTTAGAACATGTCATTTGAAATTGGGAAAATTAGGGGTTTTGATGAGGAGATGTCATTTAAATAAAAGGAAGATATTTTACGGACGGACGTTCTACATGATATCTTTGAACCAATTTTTAAAGGTGCACCACCAAAAGGAACATTTTAAAATTGCTAGTGGTTTATGAGGAAGATCATTTAAAGTAGTTTTCTAAAGGGGACAAGATAATTTAAAAAATGAGGCTAAAACGAGTTATGGTTCTTTTGCACTCATTTTACTCCATGAGATCTATCTACCTACAATTTCATCTTGATATCTCTTATAGTTTTAGAGTTATTTCGACAAATAGTTCAAAGCTGTTAAAATTAACAAAGGGCAATAACTCCAAAATTAGGGAAAAAAGAGTTATTGTTCTTATGCACTGCACACCCAGACAAAGTTCAAAAAGTAAAAATAAACAAAGGGCAATAACTCCAAAATTAGGCAAGGCAGAGTTATGATTATTGTGCACTGCACATCTACCCATTGAGATCTATTCACCTTAAAAGTTTCATGTTGATATCTCTTATAGTTTTAGAGTTCTGTCCAGGACAAGATTTTTCTTTAAGGGGAGATAATTAAAAACCGGGCAAAATAGAGTCATGGTTCTTTAACAATGCACTCCCCTCAATGCCCTCTACCACTGTATGAAGTTTAAACAAATTATCTCCAAGGGATTTCAAGTTATGCTCCAGACAAGAGAACGGACGGACAGACAGACGGACGAGGCACCGACTATGTACTCCCCCAAAATTTTTCGGGGAACATAAAAAAGCTTAAAAAACTAAAACAAATAAATCTTTTGAAATTCAACATTTTAATTTGACAAATATTCATTTTGTAATAAAATTTCAAATAAAATATTTTCAACATATCAATATAATTGTGATAATCTACAAGAATTGATGAGAAATGTGTAAAATATACTAACATAGCTAGAACACTCTCACACAATCTAGGATTTCAATATGATATAATATACTATAAAATGCTTATGATCTACATAGTTTAATCTAACTACATTCAGCACGACACAAACACACTAATATAGAAAACTAAAATCAGATAAATGTAAACAATGTACTTAACTCTTTACATGCTGAATTTGTGAAGTCTTGAATTTGGAAAAGCCCATTTGAAAATTACTTGAATTTGGAACAGTCCATTTAAAAATTACTTGAATTTGGAACAGTCCATTTGAAAATTACTTGAATTTGGAACAGTCCATTTGAAAATTACTTGAATTTGGAACAGCCCATTTGAAAATTACTTGAATTTGGAACAGTCCATTTGAAAATTACTTGAATTTGGAACAGTCCATTTGAAAATTACTTGAATTTGGAACAGTCCATTTGAAAATTACTTGAATTTGGAACAGTCCATTTGAAAATTACTTGAATTTGGAACAGCCCACTTGAAAATTACTTGAATTTGGAACAGCCCATTTGAAAATTACTTGAATTTGGAACAGTCCATTTGAAAATTACTTGAATTTGGAACAGTCCATTTAAAAATTACTTGAATTTGGAACAGCCCATTTGAAAATTACTTGAATTTGGAACAGCCCATTTGAAAATTACTTGAATTTGGAACAGTCCATTTGAAAATTAAGGGATTTCAATATCATGATATAAAAAGTTAAACTTTTAACAGTATACAAAGCTGTGTGTAGGTTTGCATATACTGATGGCAGAGGTTAATCACTTTCTGGTTTAGCAAGTTCAGGTTCAACATCGG